TGTATTCTGACTGAATCTTTCCAGACTGGCAGCTCCAGCCCATGTTCAAATTTGACAAAACCGTTTTGATGTTAATCCATTCTGACTGAACCTGGCCAGTTTTTAAAGGAATAGTAACTATGACTTAATCAAATTCAAGTAAAGCGCATATAACAGGTGTCTTCAATTCCAGGCCCGGCATCACCCCTGATCCAACACACCTGAATCAAATGACTGAATCACCTCCTCACAGTGCAGTCAGTTCTGCAGAGTCCTGCTAACAACCTCATTATTTGACTCCGATGTGTTGAAGCTGAGACACATCTAAAAGTTGCAGGACATCAGCCCAATGGACCTGGATCTGACATAGAGGTTTATGAAAATACTCATAGTGGTGTAAATATCTTTGCAAGGAACTGCAGCTGTTTTATTAGTAGGTAGAAGCATCCAATCAGGCTCCACCTGACATCAATTTCTCTGGATAGAAGATAGGTTTGCTGTTCATCACTCTGCATGATATTTACTCTGAGCAACCTAAACACACTCAGTGCGGTGGGAATTGGAAAGTCCTTGCAAACACGGCAGCAATGTTTAAAAAAAAGAGATGGTTTTGATTAAAAACATAAATTTACAACCATTAAATCCAGAATTTAATGTTAAGATATGAATTCCCCAGAAAGACAAAATCTGTTAGGAAATAATTGTCTTAAACAAAATCACATTCACCACAGTTACTGGCAACTTTAATAATTCCCATTAAATATATACAACTGATATTTTTCTATGATCTACACCAGCTTATTCCTGCAGAGTCATAGGGGTTTGGTACCAATCTCCAGAGGTCAACTGAAGGACATAAGTTTTTAGTAAGTGTTCTTATGTATTACTGTTTAAATGTAATAGTAAGCTTTTGATTATTAACCCATAGCTTCATGTTTTCTTGTTGTACAAGAGTGAGGTTTATTTCTGAGCCACTATTCAAAATGGAAAATATAGAAGAACATGCCCTTCAAACAAAATAAATATTCTTCATAAAAGAAGAGTTGGATTCAACCTAAACTTGCCCATATTAAGAGTTAGAGTTTTGATCTAAAAGATTACACTTTTAACCTGAACATGGAATGCTAACGGTATCGACTCTGTTCGTGTTTGTGTACAAAATGTCTGTGCACAATGAATGAAGAATGATGCTGTGATGTAGCACAATTTTCAGATTTGACCTGACAATGAAGAAAAAGGTTGGATGGGGACAAAAGGTTATTGCCACACACAGGGAGCTCAGATATGAAACAAAGGACAAATCTCAAAAAGGGCCATCTTGAAGATAACAAAAGGCCATCCACAAATCAGTTGGTGGTTTGGGAGGAATGTTTTTTTTTGCCTCTTTGTTAAACACATCTGGCAATCCATAAGGAACTTTTTATTTTTCAGATGAGACTAAAATTGAGCATATTTGGAGGAAACGCCCCAGCTGTCTGACATGATAGCAAGAAGTAATATAAAGAAAAGTTCTGAGAAAAGACTGGATGAATTAGAGAAACTAAAGGAGAGGTTCAAAGATCCCTCTCTTTATGGGTATTTGGAAACATTTCATTTAGGATGAAAACTGGGTGCAGATTTATTGCTTCAGCCAAAAGGTGTTACACAACAGAGAGGACAATAAGGGTGGCAAAAATTATTTAATAAATCCATTTTTTCTGAATATGAAGTTGTTTTTCACATTGAGTAAGATTATGATTCTGCAAAGACATGAATTGTTTCACAAGTCTTTCCGAGGAGATGCAGATATGTGCGGAGAATGTTGCATATTTATTTAGGAATTTCAGATTGTCGGTTGTTTTCTATTCCAGAGTGATTCCAGTTGAAACTTTCAAAAGTTGATTGAAATCCTACAGAAGCTGACTCCCACTAACATCTCCAACTGCACTCCTTCCCCTTTCAGATGTCATAGTAGATAAATCTGACAAGAATAAGTTGTTTTTGGAAGTAAAATCCATTACTGTACTTTGGGATACAAAAACATTGGCAAGCTATTTACTAGATGCTCATCTGACAATACATTTATGAATTCATTTCAAGAAATATTGGCAAATGTAAACTGGTCCGTCTTTTGCGGTCCACTAATAAAAGATTGAGAGTCCTTACAGATCTCACAGTTTGCCACATTCTTACCAAAAGAATAAGATGCCAGAGAAAAACTGGTAGGACTTGAGACACAATAGAAAAATGTGACAGCCAATGACGGGACAGTACCATAGGAGTTCTGCCATCAAACCGCATTAATGAAGATGCATGACACTGTGCCAGTGAGTCAAAGCAAGGTCCCAGACAGAGAGTGGCACAGATGCTACCATGATGAAATAAGCCTGAACACTCTGAATTCATTCATTTTCTTTATCTATTCAGTCCCTGTCTCTTTAAACTCTGAGCCAAATACGCATGGATTTAGTGCTTAAGCACTAAAAAGTTTTTGTGATTAAAAATAAACCATGAGAGACAATTTCAAACACCTGTTTCAGCACCAAACCGATCATAAAAAGGAGCCAAAAATTTAACGCTTCTGATTCAGTTCCAGTGTTTGGTGTTCTTGACTCCAAACTATCAGTTATAGTGAATCTGAGCACATGAACAACGTTATCCTATCCAATAGGGTTTTTGTCTGGTCTTTCTTTATTTCCATTCTTTACTGAAGCCATTGTTTGTAAAAGTTAAAGGTTGTAAAGGATCAAATGGTCATATTGGTATCAGTCAGGAGAAGAACAGAAAAAAAATCCACAGGATGTGTATTTATTCTATGCCACTGTGAAAATAGTCTCTTATGACTGGAAAAAATAGTAAAACCGGGGCATTACAAAACTGGATGTTTTCCAAACTTAAAGAAAGAATTGAACCTCAATGACTGGATGTGTTCTGCATCCTTCTTTATTCTCCATCTGTGTGGACCAAATAGTACAGTTTCATCTAAAGAAAACTATCAAAATCTTATCTAAAATCTTCCAAAACTTTGAGAGAAAATATCTTGTTGCCTGTTGAAACCAAACTTAAATCTGTGGGCTACAATTCAACAAGTTTTTTCTTCCTTTTTGCAGAAAGAGATACAGAGGCATGACAAAAAGAGAAAAATGGTGGTGGCAGCATCATGATTTTAAATGAAACTATGATTTTGGTTGATGTTATTGAAATTATGAATAGTTCCAGCAACTATTGACAGTCTTGTCAGTTTGAACACAAAACTTTCAGAGAGGTGAAGATGAACGGGTTTTTATTTTTCAGCCTGATAGTGAGAATAAGCAAATGGGCAAAAAGAATTTAAGATTTGTACAGGTCTAGTCAAAGTCTATAAGTGCATTTGATGGAAAATCAGCGAGATCATCTAAATGGAGAGATGACAGCACAATCTGAGGGATTTGGAAAACGTTTTCAAGGTAGAATAAGTAAATATTTCACTGTTAAGATGTGGTATGTTGTGAGTCTTACTGAGAAAAAAATGATTGATTTATCCAAATCAATCATTTATATGGTTGTAAGCGAGTACAGCCATATTATTTCTTAATATGTTTATTCCAAAATAATTAGTTTTTTGTGATCTTAAAGATGATCTTAAAGATGTAAAAAGTTTCAACATTGTTTGTCATTTCTCATTTTGTGCTAACACTGAAGGTTTCCAGCATATCAAGATCTGCATTAAAATTAAAGAAGGGTGCATGCGCATTCGTACAGAGACACTCTTAAAAAGTAGGAAAGCATTTTTCCACTTAACTGTTTCACTTTATTTCATATTTTTCAGAGTATAGGAAGCCTTTTATTTTGTCCAGTTACGATGGAGAGGAAAACGCTCCCAGCTCTGGTGTTTTGATGATAACAGGGAGCCCTTTTCATTATCTCCTCAACTCTATTTCCGTAAATCTAATTCCCTCTTTCTCTCTTTCTGTGATGGCTGACCTGCACTCTGAGAGACAGCTGGCAGTTCATGCCCAAAGACTGTGAAGAAAAAAAAAAGTTCTTAAATTAAGTGTGCCTCACAATCAGCACTTGTACCACTGATTACAGACATTATCTCAGTGGTAAATATAGATTATGAAATTAGAGGGGAAAGGCACCATAAGGCTTCATGGAGCATTAACAACATTTTAATTACAGATTTTTATGGCAGTGGAAATCTCCCATATCTGGGGGCATTTGTCTTTTGACTCCATAGCTTAACAGTTTTTATTTGAAGCACAGCTGCTGGGTAAAATATGACCAAATGAGACATGAGCTTCGACATTCACTGTTTAATTCAAATGACTGGACTGGTTTTCTAAAATACCCCCAGTACACACTGGAAAGCCCTGATAAATTTCGGGAGCCAGCTTTGTAAATGTACAATGGGACAGTATCATACCTTTAGGGTTCATTAAATGTTTTTTTTTTTCCTGTTTTTAAGCTTTCAGTTATTTTTCTGGGGGTGTTCATTTATCAGCTCCCAAGCACAATGACAGATGATAGTTTGCTTTCTGGGGGGCATCACAGTTCGAATAAATGAATGCATTTTACAAGAACTGGAGTTTTTATTTGAAGTCCCTGAAGGGGCTGTCCTCAATTTACTATTTTAGGATTTTCCGACAAGCAAAAAGCTTGTCAACCCTTTAACCTTCATCAACATAAATAAACAGGGTTTTACGCACAGGTGCAAGAGCTCGGGCATCAAGGATGTGCAGCGAATTGCATGCATGCAGGCATATTCTCGTAATTATTGTTGCTACATATATGGATGCATTTTCGTGTATGAATATTTTGGAGATTGCATAACTGGGAAAAAGAACCCCACACATAAAAGTTTATTTCATCAGCGCGCTGTGGGTTCAGGGCGCTCCTTTCAAAGATGCGCTGCGCTGGTGAGAGGCGCACAAAGACAGTTAAACCTCTCTCTCAAAAAAAAAAAAAATTAAATAAGCAGCAGCAAATATAAAACAATACACCTATTATTATATATATTTTTAAAATCAACCAAACATAGCAAAAGTGGAAATTTAAATTACCTGATCCGATCTATCGCCACGATCATGTCACACACGCGTCCGTCAGCGCATCCTGGAAATTAGAGTCCTTCGATGAAAGAGTTCTCCCTCAATTCGTCGCTGCTGAAATCTCCACTTCCATAAACGTATTTTATATTTTTTCTAATAGCACCTGCTGATCCGCGCAAACATATGCCTGCACAAACAACTGGTTGTGCTCTGTCAGCAGATTCCCGTTAACCTCCGTGGGCTGGACGCGCCGCTGCGCAATGACGCACGCCAAGTAGTCGAAGCTGATTTGGAGTCTCCAAATCCGCTTGTGTTGAATTCCAGAAAACATGATGCTTTCGCCTTTTCTACGCCCTCTAATTACAGTATGAAACTGATGTTATGTCACCACTAAATTCCAGTCTATTTTTTTTTTTGTTATTGTTCCTTCAAGTGGACTATTAGAGACAAAAACCTTCCACAGCCAGTCACATATTTAAATAAAGAGACCAGACCTGACATACAACACATGGCTGCGTGTTAGCATCCCATTTCTATTTTAGTCTTTGAAGAAATCAAGTGACAATAATCGTGTCAGTTCACGTTTAACGCTCCGCAGCACCTCTTAAAGCCATTACTCTTTCTGTTCACCCTCACACAACGGCAGTTCGATTGCTTTAAAACTCCAGGAAGTATATTGAGGTTTCACATGTCAAGATGGAGGATGGTGATCTCAGAAGGAGCTTGACAGTCATTCCTGTGTTGATGAGCCATTTACATTCCCATCCCATCCCATCCCGGATGCCCAAAGGGGAGAGAGGAGCAGTCAGTCAGGCAGAAGCTGATCTTGCTCCACATGTGGGTTTTAATTGTAAGATCTGGGTATGGATGCAGAGCAGAAGAATGCCTCTGTGGGTGGTTTTCCCTATGTTAGCAAACAGCCATTCACTCCAAGCATGGCTGGGCAAGATAGTGAGTTCTTTGAATCTATACATTTCTGCATTTCGGCAGGGGAGGAGGGCAGTGTCGTCACGCAAAGTCCAAGACTCAAAGCCATTGCCGGAGCTCACAAGGCACAGAGCCACAATGAAATCAGCACTTACTTACAGACTGGTGCCAACAGTGCACTACTGTGACATTTGTTTGTCCCATGTGCAAGGACATTTCGTGATACGATGATTCAACCACATGCATGCATCCCGTATATAACTGTCAACTGGCTGATGCTTCAAGAAGTTTCTTCAGCATCTTTTGCAGCAAGAAATTCTGTTGCTTTTGTATCTTAAAATGCAACAATGGTCACTGGTAAAACATCAGGTCTTTATTCCTGAATTAATTTGCCAACAGTAATTAACTCTGTAATGAACTGCAGTTTCAGATTACTTCTTTAGAAGGTTTTGAGTCATTGTTGTGGAGTTTGAGACATTTAGCCTCTTTTTTTCTTGAATGTTATGATGGTTAGACATTATTATAGTTAGTCTAGCCCTGGGTTGTTTTGGTTATTTCTTTTTAGTTTGATTATTCTGTGTTCTTTAATCTTTTTCTTTGATTAAATCAGTTTTGTTTGCATTTTAGTTCACTCTTTCTTATTGTTTCTTGTTATGATTTCTCCTTGTCTGTAACTATCCCTTGTTACTCCAGTTCAATTGTATTCTATTCTTTAGTGTCAGATTCATTTCCTAGTCCCTTGTGTACTTTCCCTCACCCCCTGTGTCATTTCCTCTCTCTCCTCACACCTGCAACCCCTCTAGCTAATCAGCCCTGGTCTTTTGTTCCAGCATTCACCCTCACACTATTTAAACCTATTTAAACTATTTAAACTCCTTGCCTGTTCCTCTTGCTATACAGTTTTATTTTCTATGTTTCTTTTAAAAGAAAAAATTCCTGTTGGCATTTTTCTTGAGATTACGGTTTTAGTTCTTCTTTTGTAAGTTTCTTATCTTTTTCATGAAACTTTAAACATGATCCATGCTCCCAGCCCCTGTCTCAAACTCACACATTATGACAGTTATGGTATTTATAGCTGCATTTAAGCCATATGGCAACTTCATGCATCTGGAAATTAAAACCAAGGATGGATTAAACTTGAAGAGGTTGAAGGCATGACTCTATCAAGCTTTTGCAAGTTATTCACAAGAATAGTAATTTTGGATGTTGTTTATCGCTGATTGGCTCACTGGCTGTTCTGATGGCTCCTTCCCTGGAACGTTTGGCCCCCAAGGACTCCTGGAGCTCACAGACTAAGAGATTGAAAAAAAAACTGAATTCAGAAAATGTTTTTTTCCAACCTGATCAGTTTGTTATTGTTTGCATCCACAAAAGTGATGCATTTCAGTTCAAAGACTTTAAATTCACAACTTCATAGTCTGAAAAGTTAATAGTTTCGTGGTGTGAAGCTTTGAGTTATTGTGCTTTGTAGAAATTGTTAAACTTGTTCTGTATTGCATTGTGGAGTCACGAGGAAAGTTTTACGAGGAGCGCTGGTGCCTTAGTGCTATGCATGTGTAGAGCAGGGAACAGGTGGGGACCTGAAAGGTTTCCAGCTCACAACCATTTCCCTCTATTGACAGGCCTGCTCACGATGCATTGCCCGCCTTACATCTCTTCCTGTCACGTCTGAATCCTGCAGGGCTGTTCCACCTGAGCTCTCATTCATCTGCTGCTGCTACTGCTTTCAACAAAGCCATTTGCGCACAGGGTTAGATGACCGTGCAAAAGTTTTATGCATGATTTATCTGCGCTGAGTTCCACCATTTTAGACGTGGGTCATCTGCAAAGGCCAGATTAAAAATTGTTCCCGGGAGCAGCACTTTCACACATTTGTCCAATGATCTCAAGCTCTTTAAGGGTCATCTGTAATCCATTACTCACATCATGTGGGAAACAAGTGACTGGCCTAGCTGATCTGATGAAGATACTTAAAAAGGGTTAAAAAAAAATAATTAATTTTAAAATTCCGACTGGCTAAGCTGCCGTTCAGGAGATTGTCATTATTGTTTCTATTTATCTAAAATGGAGCCGCAGAGCTACTGGTGAATATTCAGTGTTATTTGTTGTTCTAGATGAGCATAGCCATGCATTATGCAACACTGTGACAACTACAACCTATTCAAATAACTCATCAAATTATAAAAGAGGGTTTCAATCAGCTGCAAGGTGACCGTGTTCATCCCAACTAGGAGAGAAAGGTGAAGAAATCCCACATTCAGACTGTGTGCGTCCATGTAATCAACAATGCAGTTTTCTGTTCTGTGGATATGAAACAGAAGGCAACACAAGGTCAACAGATTTCATTCTCATCCTGAGAAGAAGGAAAGATTTGGAGAGACACAAAAACCTGCAACAATTGTGCTTCAATTTGTCCTATTGAAGGAACAATGTTGGGATTTTTAGTGCCTCAAATAAGCAACGGCTCCTTATTAATTTTTGAACTAATGCTAACACAGTTCCTTATAAAAGTAATGCAAGCATCTAGAAAATTCATGAAACATTCTTTAATCATAATTCTCATCTGATCTCCAAAGTCTTATTTTAAAACCTTCTCATGTCCTAGAGTTTTTACACAAAGTAAGAATCCACAAAGGTTGAGAAAATTAGCTGGTCTTGGAAATGAAACATGTTGACTGCTGCATGATTAACAGAGCTGAAACATTTTCATGCCATCCATGATTTGCTGCCGCAGAGCGCCAGTGGATCCTCTCATTACAGTGGGTATGTCATTAACTGGGATGATAAGCGTGGACTCTGTTCATTTGGGAGGACGATTCTTCATCCTTTGTTTTATCACCATATTCTGCCTCTTCTATTGGCACCACTGGTAATAATGTGTGAAACCTCTTAAAATGAATTCATCTCTTATAGTAAGAGCTTCATCTCACACTAAAACATTTGGAAAAATGTAACCTTTATTTGAAAATGTTTATTAGGTGGGAACAATATGAAGGTTTAAGAAATAATTGTTTTCAACAAAACTATTTTTTAGCTAGTGATGCATAAAAACATCACTGACACTAATTATTCAGCTTGCATGCTATAACACTGATAGATTGATGTTAGAAAGAACTTTTATCTTTCTTTGTTCGCTAGAATAATGGGCCTAACTGCAAAAATATTTTTCCCGTTGGTATAAATAAAGTTTTGAACCAAATGGGGCTTAAAGTGATCAGATTGTTATTTTTCCTTTATCTTTTTAAGTTGATCAGAGTTTCTTGGAATGTTTAAATAGTAATCCATGACTTTCTGCCCCTCCATTGCAACTCCAATTCCCCTCAACTTCTTGCCACTAGGCTGAACGAGGACCCATATTTCCTACCATCAAATATAGGGACCAGGCTGGTAGGAGATGAAACATCTCCAGGATTCACAAGTTGCGTTTCCAGTGAGCATGTGAGCCTGCAACTTGACATTTTGAAAATTAATTTGTTTAGTGAAACCACCAATCAATAAACGTTTTGGCGCTAGGATGAGCAAGTTATTTCAAAAAGCTGTAGCAGAAAATATTTCTCACTTCCCATGTGATCAACAATCAGATGTTGCTACTGGTGCAAACCTCGAAGAAATTTACTCATTTGTTTAGTTTGAAGGTCACAGAACATCATGGTTTTTAGTGGTTTATCTCGTGAACAAACTTATTCACATGTGATTTTTATTTTATTTCTTATTGAAAACACAACATCTAATTTCTTTGTGGGAATAATTTTTGGATTGAATTTGAAGGATTGTACATAAAGGTGTTCATTAGAGAACAGATGTTTCTTAGTTTACCCCAAGTGATGCCACATGATTTTTGCCAGCTAGAAAATGCCAACTTGTTGCAAATATATGTGTTAAACTAGACTAGATGTAGCCAACAGTTTTAAATATGGAATCCGGACGTGTCAAAGACTCAACATTTTTTCGACAAAGACTGAAACTTGATACATCCTTGGCAGAGTAATGGCAGAATAAGTTGTTGAAAATTTCCTCCACAAAAGTGTGTTTAATTTTTTTCATTCAAGCTCTTTCATCCTCATTAGGCAGGAGCTTCTGAGGAAACCTCTATCAAAGCGTCGTTGTGTCTGGCTCCACAGGAGCTACAGAAAACCCTCATTAGACAGACGCTGGTGCCAGAGGGGACCGAGGTATCTGGGGTAAAGTGTCAGTGGCTTGTTTGCAACCCATTCACGGGAACAGATGTCAAGAGGCAGTGAGATTACCTTGTCATTCCATGTGAGGTTTCTTCCCTCTGTTTTGTTCATATTGAACCATTTTATGAGACAAACATGTATC